TTAGGAGAGTCGCCAACGTACTTCTGTACACGGCCTATCGTGGTTTGCCTTCCTCGCAAACACCCCCGGCGCACTCAAGCTTAGGTCAAGGAATCTGCGATTCAAATCTTGTTTGCAAAACTTGGAAACGAACCCCCTCAATCCCAGCTTCAGAGGTTTCTTATAAATCAATGAGTCCAAATATATCCAAATATGACTTGCCTCAATGTTCATGACATGCAGCATCATGCAACAACACCTTCTCACGCGCTGACTTCAATTGCTCTGCATCCTTTAGGAAAGTCGCCAACGTATTTCTGTACACGGCCTATCGTGGTTTGTCTTCCTCGCAATCACTCCCGCCACACTCAAGCTTAGGTCAAGGAAACGATGATTCACATCTTGTACGCAAACCTTGGAAACGAAAATCCTCAAACCCATCTTCGCAGGGCCCTTGTCAATCCAAACAATTCCAAACAATGACCATCCCACACAGCACCGGACCGGCCATCACAGTCCTGAGGCAACCTTTGAGGCTCAAATGGTTCCAGGCCTAGCACCTTCAAACTCCCTAGTCTTCCGCTGGCCCCATGGCCCCAGTAAAACTGAAGACTGATGTGCCCAACGGAGCAGCTCTTTGCGAGCAGCTCTCCGCCGCGGCTCGCGGCTCGCGACTGGGCGCCCCAGGCTGGTCTTCCAGGACTCCAGCCATGTCCACGGCCACCGTGCCCAACCTGACGTGTTTGAAGATGGGGTGAAGACGCCGCATTCTGATCCCCCAACAAAGGAAAAACACAACACAACTTGCGAAGGTGTCTCATTTTGGGCGGGGGAAGGTGCCCATAGTCTATGACTGTTGTTTTTTTGGGGGGTGGTCATTTGGCTCATCTGTACACTAAACAAATAATATATATATATACAGTAATATATATATATAATGCATTTATACATGTCCATAAACAACTGTTTGGCTTGGCACAAGAGATGCCCCCTCTCTGGAGGAGGGCCCGTCACCATATTAGCCAAACTTTTGGAGCACATGGCCCGGTGCGCGAGCTGAACGGCGAAACGGTGCGGCTGCATGTAGGTCGAAACGGTGCCAGGTGGTGAAATTTTATCGAACAAAAAAACTGTGTCTCACTCTGCTCATCTTCGTTTTTTGCGGGGCAACCGCCCTTTAAAAAAGAAAAAACGTAATAAACAAAAATACAAAAAGCAACGACCAGCACGAGCGGTCAGCCGGCCAGGGCTTGGTCAAGGCATCGGGCCAACACCTGCGACCGGCAGAAGTCTCCCCCAAGGCCCAGTGAGGATGTTTGAGCCCAATTTCTGGGTGGGCGGAGTACCCACACAAAAGATGCACCGTGTTCACACCTGCCTATAGGACTTGTTCTCGCTTTCTTTCTGCTACGTTGAGAGGCAAATCTACAAGCTATATTAAGTGCTTTTTTTCCAGTTTTTACAGGCATCTTCGGGTGAACATCTCTCTCTCTCTCTGCATTTTTGTAAGTTCCTCATACAAAAGCGGCCCAAGTTATATCATGCCACGGATTGGCTCGACGGCTGTGTTTGCCACGCCTTTGGGCGCATTGCTGCTCGCACTCGAGCAAACCTCATTGCAGCAACCCGCTCCAATATATATAACTACCAGCAGTCACAAAGGGGTGCTTAATGCAGGATAGGGGTGCCCATGATCTACTCACTTGGGGACTAAACACCATCTCTTTGTGACTCCTGCTGGATTTTTGTCCAAATGACATGAACGATTTCTTGGGCCCCTACGTCCTATTATTACTGCTCCAGTTCCGACTTCACGGCCGGGCGAAAAACGAACACGCCGACTCTGTTCCAGCAAGACCAAACAGAACCGCCTGGCGCCGGCTTGGAAGGTGGCTTGTTGGAGATTGAGTCGCTCGGGGCCGCCCCCAGTGAGGTTTGAAGAGGACACCGGACATCACCGCACATCACTGGACATGGATGGACATGGTACATATATGTCAGACACCACCCCGGCCCCCCGGCGCTCATCCGCTTCCGCGGTCTGCCGTGCCAAGTTGGAGTTCCGTGGGTCCTGAAAAGGCGAGGGGAAGGGAGGTCCAGTTGCCAGCCCCAGTTGGCCTCCAAGGGTGGCAGTACGTGGCGGATTGCTAGGATGAGTCTTGGTTTCGTCTGTCGAACTGTTTGGAAGCGGCGTCCCGACCGGAACTGCGGGGCCCACAGCGGACCGGAAGTCGGCTTTCCAACTGCAGTGGGTTTTTGATGCTTCACACCGAATCACCGAAATATCCAGCGCATGGGTTGAAAGATTGAGGTCTCCCACCTGGGCCACAGAACTGCAGAAGTGTGGCTCCCATGTCTCAAAATTGACAAATTGACCTCCCAAATCTCCATCGATACATATATAGTGAAGAGTTGATGTTTCTTCTCTCGCATGTCCCGTCTCTTCAGGCTGTGGTCGAACTGGTTACATTGAGCAACCCTCTGAAGGAAAGTGGCTTTCTCAGTGGTCGACTTCGACTTATCACATCTGTGTTGTCCCATGTCAATGTTCAATGTTCAAAGCCGCTTCACTTCACTTTTCGATCTTGATGGCACACGTTTCTGAGCTATTGTATATAATATGAACGTGCATACAAGACACAAAATACAAAAGATTTAAGACCCTAAGTCTAAGTATTAAACACACGCAAAAAAGAACTTGTATTGTTGAATATATATATATATTATATATATCTATATCTATTGTTAACATATATATATAGATCTATTGAGTATATATACGATATATATATATATCTAGCGCGTTTATCCACACCGGCAGCATGCCCACACCGGTGGCATCACTGGGCCCCCCGGACTGGCCGGGTTTCGGCCTTCCCGGTGCTCACCACTTGGAACCTACCGAAGTGGTCGAGTGACCGGTCTGCAAAGGCTAGTTATGTAGTTCTATGTTTTATCATACGCGTGTGTTTTTCTCATATGTTGCATCTCTAATTTGTCCTATCTGTCCTCTTTTCTTGATTTCAGCTCTTCCTATTAATATATGGTTTTATTTTAAACTTGTTTTGCTTTGGACTTTGCATGTCCAAGTTTTGCATAACTGGTCGACATAAAGCTGGTCCATGCTGGTCCCCTGCTACTATCCCAAATGGGTTCGATATGGTTCGATTCTTATCTCTCTGAAGCATCCCACTGTTCTCCCTTTGGCAGGGAGGGCTTTCTCTGAGCATTGCCATGTTTTCATCAGCAATGAATCCAGTTCAACTGGGTGAGCCAACTGAGGATGTACTCGTGGCCCCTGTTTGCTCTCAATCCTTTGCGACGACCACCCACCACTTGAGGCGCCCAACTTCGTCCCCAGCTGGTTGGAGGACCGCAGTTGGAGCACCTGACAAGAATCTCAAGTAAAGGTTAAAAAAGTGAAATGCCTGAAACCAGTACCCAAATGAGTGATGGGCAAAGTCTCTGGCTAGAGGAACCTCTTGAAGGAAGGTCAGGCTCTTTCCATTCTGAGCCAACCAAGAGGGCGGGGACCTGACCCAAACTGTAGGTTTTATTGGTCCAATCCTCATGTCCACGAGGAAGGAAGTCCTCATCTCCCAGACTCCTCATGTCTTGGCCGTCCGAAGACCCAAACAACGCCAGTGGACTCGGGCAGTTTCCAGTGACTCGATGCGTTCACCGCGATGCTCTGCATGGCTCTGCGACATGTTGTACGTCTGAACATCATATCAGCTCATCTGAAGCAATGCCACGAAAAGAGGAACTATTGGAACATCACCCGGTTTAGTGGAATTGCTGTCTCGCATCCAACTTGTATGATGACAAAAATTGACAAGATTAGGGGCGTATTAAACTGAGATCGTTGACTTGCAGGGATTTTCCTACGGAACGAATGTTCAGGAGTGACTGACGGGGGCCCAATGCAGAATAATGAATGCTTCTCACCGCTGAGTGTCCCCGCATTTTGCACCTGGTCACGAGGCGGTTGTGCAGAATAGAAGGAAAGTGCAATAGTGTAAACAGTGCCTACAAACAAAGTTAGCATAGCATGCATCATATGAATTTTGAATTCCCATCATGGGGAGTGTCTAGGGTGTACCCCCCCTTGGTCCCCCACCTCAAGTAACAAAAAACATATTTTGGGTACCTTGACATACCCGCAAAGGAAATCATGTTGACTAGTCTCGACTAGGTCAAATAATTCAATGGCTGCACACAAGAAAATGTATGCAAATCTCAGCCAGCTCTTGTTTTTCGCGCGGGACCTTCTCAGGACTTGCAAAATAAGACAGGAATTCTTTATCTTCTCAAATTTCCTTTCAAATCTTTCATGTGTTCACAAAAGATTTTTGGACCATATTTTGTTTGAACAAATTCTGTGAAGATCCTGGCTTTCCACCAATTTTCTTCAACACTCTTGAAAGGTCAAGGACAGACAGGAAATGAAGGAATGCAGCAAACCACTGATTTTTTGTTCACCAATTTTCCAAAAATCTTAAATTTCAAGAAATGGTCTCAACACTCTTCAAACATCAAGGAAAGACAGGAACTGAAGGAATTAGACCAGGAAAATAACTAAGAATTAAACATGAACTAGATACAAGATATTTTTTACACTTTTTCTCCTCTCCCCCTGTCTCATTATGCATGCAAATGTGTAGGGTGTAACCGTCCAAAACATTGAAGAAAGAACCTCGCTGCCTGCAGTGGCAACGCAGATTCCATGCCCCGTGCAGAAAACACGCGAGTACCGCGGCTCGGTGCCTGTGGCACGCAGTTCTTCTGCAAGCAAGCTCTGAAGGCTGCCTCAAAGCGATGCCGTGGCGAAGCCGTGGTGGCGAGTCAAATCAAGGGATCCGACGGGTGGGATACCCACATGCACAAGAAAGTCCAGCGGTAGACCTCGAAACTGGCGGAAGTGTCTCGTTCATGGTCAGCGCACAATGTGTCAATCACCAGCAAAGGTCCAAGACAACACGTCCTTAGGGTGACTTGAAGACATCCTCCTTGTTTAGTAGCAGCCGACCCGTGCAAAAGCCTAAACATGAACCAACTCAACCTGCTGCTCACACCCGCGCCTTCTGTTGTTCTTCATCTGCCGGTGGACCACCGCCAGCCTCAGAGCAGGCGCAAGGAGGTTGGCGGGAGGCCGGGGTGCACATCGCCGGAGCAAGTCTATAATTAATGAGGATCGTTTTCAGGTTCTCATTTTCTCGTTCTTCAGCTATCCACCCATCCACTTGAACTGTTCGAGTGAAAGGTGAATTGCCAAAACGATCGGTTTCTTAACTGTATTACTCCTTCACTGAGTGGATTTGCAGTGGATTTGATCCTTTGCCGTCATGCCAAGGAAAACCTGAAATGGGATCATTCTTGCGGTGAGTGGCAAAGCACATCGAAAGAACTCTACCCCACCACCATTCACAGCCTGAGGCTCCAAACGAAGTTGCCCATGCGAGACCACAGAGTCCGAGCTATGAGGCTCGGAAGTCTCAGCTCTGTACCCTAACATCTTGACCTCTACATTGCTTCTGACACAGCTGGGGACCAAACCACTGGGGCTTTGCAAGACTAAAAGGCTCCATATTCTGGAGATGTGGATGTGGGGTGCCCATTAGCACGTGAATGTCGAGCTGCAGCAACTGCTTCATGTGGTGCATGAAAGAGCCCCGTCTTCATGTGGTGCATGAAGCCTCTGCTCAATCATTCACCTGTTTGAAAGAAAACCTTCTTAAAAGATCATGAAACGGCCAAATGCTACAGCCGGTTCCTTTTCCACCAGCCATGATGTCCTACATCTCCATCTTCCAACGTGACAATTCACGATGTCTTCACGAATCCCCGCACCGCATCGGATGAAATGGTCGGCGAAACAAACATATAAACAAATATAGAGAGAGAGAGGGAGGGAGAGAAAGAGAGATAATTACATAATTGAATTACATAAGTTATATATATATATATCTATCGTATATATATATATATGTCTACCGTACATCATATCTACAGTAGATTCTTCCTGCAGGTGCAGCAATCGGCTTGTCTCAGGTGCAGAAGGTACTTGCCTTCAAGACCCAAGACTGTGTTCCCAGAAGTTCGGGGTGACCTCTTCCAATCAAGCGCCAAGCACCCAGATCTTGGGGTCTTGGGGCTGTACTCATGAATGTGAGAGGACTGTCAGGTCCACCAGAATTACCACCAAGCAGTGAGGGCATAAGGTCCTAAACCAGTATGAACTGTTGCACTGTTGAGCGTTAACATCGTTAAACCATGTTAAACCATATGTTCCAGGGCACGACCAAAGCCACCACCTTCCAGGGAATGTCGGTTCTTGGAGTCGTGTATATTCAAAATATCTTCTGTGTTGATCATTGAACGATAGTGTATCTGTCCATACCGCGAAGGCCATGCAAAGCACTGCCTGAAGTCAGAGATACGCAGTTCTGGGATTTCCCCACGCCGTCCCGTCGCACGCATGTGCACCTTTGTGCTCCGGGTCAACCCCCAGCAGCAGAACTCTGCCAAAGCATGAAAGGCACCGCAGCTGCAGCCCTAGTTCTGACTCCATCAGTTTTTCGCCTGTTCATATCTAGAGGGGAAACCAATCCCCAAGAAAGGTCAAAGGTATTGACTGGGTAGGAGCTGGTTGAGATTGAGACCAAACATGACATTTTGCTCCATCTATCAGGGATTGACTCTGCAAACTTCACTTGCCATCATCTATAGGCTGCAGTATGCTGCTACGGTCTCAGCCTTTGGATTAAGTTGATCGACCTGTTCGGCGAAAACAACGCCCAAAAGAAGTTGGAGGTTCACCACTGAAAAGCGATCTGCACGGGCCATTTCCAATATTGGGGGAAGTTGGAAATGACGCAAAAGCCATGTCTGACTGTTTACAAACAAACAGCCACCTGCTGCACTTCGACGAGCACGTCACATTAGCGAAAAACCATGGGAACCACAGCTATTTGGGCACTTCCTTCCAACTTCAGTACGCAAAGGACTGCAATTCGTTATAGTTCATTGAGAGTAAATGGCACAATCCCCAATGTCGGTAGTTTATGGATCCCCCATCTAAAGGACATCTTGGGGTGTCAGTGCCATCTGCTCTGAAACCACTGTAGCCTATGGACCTCTGGGCTTCTGTTCATTCTCGGTGCCATGACTAGGGTCATCAGCACCGTTGTCTAACCGCCATGGGTTGGCTCATGCCACCAAAAGGGATGACGGATAGATTCACGCTGGTGCTTCAAAAAAACAGGGGCTGCCGCTGGCATCCTAACTGCTTGCTCACGTGTCCGGCTCAGCTTTCATTGCAAGGACCTGCCTGTGGCCCTTCGAAAGGATTTCAGTCTCAGGTCGTCAAGACTGACACGGCCTCCTTTGGCTTTGTTCAGTCCTTGAAGAATGGAGAGCCCGGTAACAATCAGCATGTTTTGTTTGTGCTGCCCTCAGCTGCTTCCACAGACTTCTCACATGCCTCAGGGCAAGAAAAGGGGCAAACTGGCTAGGTTCTAGACATCTCTAGACTCGAACGACCTCTCGTGGGCCACAACAGCATCCACTGAATGAAGCCGACGAAGCTGTACGGCTCGGTGCAAAGGCCACCATAGAAATGGGAGGGAGATGGGTCATTCGACTGCGCCGTTCTGAGCGGCTCCTGACCTGTAAGAACTTGAGATGGTCAGCCCAAACCTTCTCATCACAAATTCCTGTTGGGCTGGAGTATTTTCGTCAGATCTTGTGAGGCTGTGTTGAAAAAAAAAACCGTCCGATGTCTTCTATGGTGGGCGATGAGGACCGGCCAAATCCCATCTGAAACGATGAGGCCAAGATTGCAATCTCCCGGGTTTCTGCGCCCTCTCGGGTCATTTGTAGGATGAAAAGACTTCTTCCATCAAGAGCTGAAAGAGTATGACAAACCAAGACTTATCAAAGCGCTTGTCTAAGCCTCTGTGCCATCATTTGCCCAAGTTCAACACTCCGCGACAACCCGTGTTCGGCATCAATTACACTAAAAGCGGCAGCAAGCATGTACACAAACGTGCACTCACTCAGACCCTGGAAGGGTCTCGGCCTAGGTCGTTGGAAGGGTTGGTCGAAAATAGATGTATCAGGGACAAGGGTCACGTACCCTGCCCAGATGGTCCCCCAAATGGGGAAAATCAAGACCTGCATATAAGTGCTCACAATGATTGAAAGCTGCCCCGGAAATCGCAGCCTCACCCCACTTTGTGCCGAAATTTGGTACCAACACCGATATGTGTATATCTATCCATCTATCTATCTATCTATCTATATCTCAATCTATATATCTATCTATGCGCTACCCCAAAACCCACCGCGAGCCCACCGGGCAGAAAATTGCCAGCAAATGCCCGATGGTTTGTCACTGATTGTTTTGGTGAACCCTTTGAATGCACATGAAATTGCCGAGGACATGGTTATTGAGCAAGCAAACCATTTAGCCGTGTCCATTGGCTGAAAACAGCATATTTATAATGCATGTTTGTTTTGATGAAATAGTTTGATGCCATGTGACGCAGAGGTGGAAAAAAGGCCATTATATAGTTAAGTTATATATGTCGTATGAAGAGAAGGGACGATGTGCAAAGCAATCGTGGACGCAAACGGGGCACGCAGCTTTTGTCCACCAGGTGGTCAACATCAGTTTTGGACACAGCCCTTCGACAGAAACTTTGCCATTTCCCATGAACAAAGTACGCTGGCGACCCAGAAATCAGCATTCTTGTGCCAGTACTCATACTGGGCTGAGCGCAGCATGGCCCCGGGGCTTTGTACAATTCCACGCCACTGTTCCCAAACAGTCCCCTTATGGAAGGTGGTCTCGTCAGCCTGCATCAGACCGGTTTTCCCGAGATAGCGTGAGCTATTGGGGTTCTTTCCTCAAACATAGGAAGAGCTGGCTGCATGTGTGCATTGTCAAGCCTGGTTGCCGCTGCAGTGTGCGCTTGGGAGGTTGGGTGCTGGCGCCGCTGTGTGCGCTTGGGTGCTGGTGCCGCTATAGTGTGCCGCCCGCAAATCTTGGCTATTTGTGTCTATGCAGGGTGTAGTTTCCAGCTCCAAAATCGATCTGCCTTGTGAAGGTTTTGGGGGCTGACCAAGCGGTGTCACAGATAGCACGACAACAGCCTGATTGGTCTGAAGCGTAACACGACCGGCAACAGGGATCGCCATTGTGGAATGGGGGTGGCGAACGAAGGACAGCAGGATCGAGCCACAAAGGATGCTACAACATCTACAACGAAACTTGATGTTGTCTTTTAAAAACTATTTTCAACATATGCAATGTACTGAAAATGCCAATGAAATATGACTTTGGGTGCTTTTTGTTTGAGGGGGTGTGCCATATATGTAGTTATAAATTTAAAAATAAATCTATATCTATACCATTATGTACCGCATACATAATGTGCGCGCAATTGTCCATATATTGTAAACGTGAAGCTAGGTTGTCCAATAGATTTCTATGTAGAAAATGCCTGGTCCCCTGCAAGCCCCTCTGCCCTCACTTGCCTTTGCACCATGTCAACACGTGTGGTTCCAAGCTGCGCTAGTCACCCTCGTCACCCGAAAGTCACAGGTCCCAAACTGTGCCACAAACAGTCTCACTCGGTGTGGTAGGTCGAACCCAGTACCTACCTCTACTGTAGTGCCTGATGTGCCCCAGCATGAGAGCCACCCAAACTCCCCAAGCCATCTGCCAATCTGCAATTTTGGAAAGCAAGGACCTCTGCCAAGAGAGCAAACGTGTGTTTCTTTACCATCCTGTCTCCTCAAACATCCTGAAACTGTCAGATGTCCACTTGGCCGGCTGCTTCACCCAGAAAGCCCTCTGCCGGACATCTGAGGCACCAAAGATTTTTGTCTTCACCCAATCTAAGCCCACCAGAGCTCGATTCCTTGGCGAGGGGATGTGGATGGATGCGGGTTATATAACACAAGGGGCAGGGGATAACACAAACAACAATGGTCTCTATGCCCATCCCCAATTCCCGCAAACATCCGTAAACATTATTAAACATTGATGTCCTCTAACCACACCTCGGCAAAGGAATGGGCCAAACTTCTTCTGTGCCCTACTTCAGCTTGTTGAAAGACATGGCTTCCGCAAAAACGATCTTTGTGGTGGCAGGTCCAACAAAACACGACAAAGCATGTTCGTTGTCCAGCCAGCCTCCATCGCCCTGCCCACAAAGGGGCCCCCTGTCCCAGTGGGACTGACGGTAGCCCAGAGGCTCCCCTATCAAAGGGATGAGGCAGGGATGCCAATCAGCGCGTGTTCACTATCTCCCCAACCACCCTAACAGGTAGCCAGGTGACTTGTAAAGTAGAGATTCTTGGGGCAGTTGCGTATGAGTTAGGAGGTGACTCGAAGTAAGAACCTTCGGACAGGGCTGCGGCAGGATATTGCAAGCGGCTAGGCTATATTTGTTCAGGTTCTGCTATGCAATTGTTCACACCTCCGACCTCGATCGTTTTTGTCTTGCACCCTCCTCAGGATGTCGGGACCTGTCCAAATTGTGGTTGATCCTTGCATAGCGAAGCAGGATTTCTTTCGAGGCAGTCACCCAGTGTATGACAAACGACTCATGGACTCATGGCTTCAACAAAAGTTATCCATATATGGTTTCCCCAAGAACTGTGCGTAGAGCAAATTGGCAAAGCTCCATCTGTTTCGATGTCCGCCATTGCAGGGCCAAGCATCTTCCAGCTGATTTGCGCCGAGGTCTCGTAAGCTCTCCAGGCTAGGCCAGCCTTAGAATCTGCCGGCTCATGTCATACAACCCCTCGAAATCCACACTCCGAAATCATCATGGAAGTGGAAAACGCATGAACACGCATCCCTGAGTCCATTTACCTCCAAGTATTTTTGTTTTCATCCACAACCACCCTCTTCTTCGAGCGGCCCAAGCTCGACCAACACACCGGTTTTGCTCCCTCTCTATTGAAGAACCTCCGGTGAGGGCGCATGTTTCGATGGGTTTCTCAGGTTCTGGATTCCCAAACCATCCATGTATTATGGAAGAGTTACCTACAAAAATTACGTCATTTGCATGGGGTACATGTCATGCACGTATAACTCTTCCAGTCACATGTATGGCCTGGGATCGGACATCCCCAGGCTTTGCTGGAACTCAATGGGCCAGGCGGCCATCTGCCGCGAGCCGGTAATCTGCTTCAGATGTTGGGTTTCAATGATGGGCCAACACAGGTACTTCGACTCGGGTGTGACATGGTGTGTCTAAGTGGATTTGTTCACAAAACTGGGAAGGACAAAAACATTCCCCATGCCAGGGGATTCACCCAACCCGGACAAATAACCATCACCATCACTCACCTGATCCACAAACCCGGAGCCTGTTCTGGGTGCCACTCAGCCCTTCATCTTTGTCTTCGCCGACCATGTTCCGAATTGAACACATCCAGCGTCACTTCCAAGCAGCCAAAGGTCCCGAGACCGGGCCAACCAGCGGCAAGTCCTCGGAGAGGAACGAAGATGACGAAATCGCATGGATCGATGAACTCCAATGACTGGATCTTCCAGCTATGCACCAAATTATGCCGCCTTTTTTGGCTGCTCTTGATGGATGAAAAGGCGGACACTTGTGGCACAGTTGGAAGATCCAGGAACATCCAGGTATTTCACCTAATTAGCTATATTGTGCCCACCAACCTTGCAAGACAGTTGCATCATAATGGATGAATGGCACCGTTGGCAAAGGCCTGCACATGCCGACAGCTTGTGGCACTACTACACGCTAAAGCAGCCTCCCTCAACCCATAACTCTCAAAATTTGAAAGTTGTTGAAGTGAGCGCCTGCTTTCTCGCAACTCATGGCCTGTGTGATGCCCTTGCAGTGTGGGGTCGGTGGCCAAACGGGCTAGCTAGCAGGGGGAGAATGCAAAATTCGAAGCATCGCGAAACCCCAGCACATACACATCGAACCGAGTCATTGATCATAGCCATTGCGTCCCTCTTGTCATCGTGTCATGCTGTTCCAAGAATTCCACCCACCCCTCAGCGTGCCAAAGCACAAAAGCCGCATGATCACCACCCAGGTATGCCAAGGCGCCTAGGGAGATCTGCCGATTTGTTGGTGCAGTGATGTGCAGTGATGTTTTTGGTGTGTTTTTCAGGGCTGAAGTTGTAAAGAGATTTTTCCTACCCTAAGAATCCGGGCCCTCAAACAGATAGGGCTTTGAGGCCCGGACCCTGCTACGGAGGGTCCGACCCCTTGCCATGGAGAGCCCAAGGATTCTTAGGGTAGTCCCAAAGTGCTCCAGCAAACCGGCCCACCCTATGATTGCATACCGTCCCCAGGACCCCCTCAAGAACTCAACACTCATTCGCCCTTTCTGTCATTGCTGGGCACCCAAATTTTCGAGAGCAATCCTTAAGATCAGCATCCCGTTTTTGAAGGGGCTGTCGAATCTGATCCTCTCTTGACAAAAGCTCTCAGGAAAACACTTGTCCTCTACAAAATGGGCTTCCTCCAGTTCCATGCTCCGTCATGTCCCATCAGCGGCATACACACCGACACACTCCGGCCTTTATGAAAATATGTGAATGGTTCTGATTCCTCCTTGAGCTTCTGCAAGCTTTCCTGCGGGTGTGCCAATCCGAAACGTACGGTTCGGGCGAATTGGTCCCGGTTCCCCCTCGCCGCGGACCGCGGGCCTCGAGGGGTCGAAGCTTGGTCTGGATAGGTCTGGTGTGTCTTGAGGGGCTCGATCGCGGCGACCAATGCGCAACAGGTGTGCCGTGCCTCATCTCCCTTCAAGCAGCCCTTGCCGAAGAGATCGGCCAAATAGCTCCCTTGTTGTGCTGCCACCTGGGGCGAGTGAAGCCGACTTTGAAGCTGAGAAGGACCGCGGACCGCGGACCAGGTCCGGATTTTGCACCACCACCGGATTCATCCACCTCACCGGTCCAAGCAACGCATGGCAAGCCTTCCGAGCCGAGCCGAGCCGTCCGTAGAAACTCCAATCAAGGACCCTCAGTTCGGTGAAGGTTCGGTAAGGGTCCAAGGGCCCCCTGCGAACTGGGTCCAAACACGTCCAAACCCTCCAGAAGTGGTCGGGTCCAAGGATTCGCATGATCGTTCTTGTGCCCAGCCAGATCACCCCGTGACGGTACTCTCCGTGCCCTCCGTGCGCTCTCTGCCGAAGATGGAGGCGCCCAAGGACTAGTTCGACTTGCTCCGCAATTCATGGTGTGTCTGCTGAACTGTCAAACGGGGAGAATGTGGAGAACAGGTCCTGCTGGGACTGGTAGGCCCACTCCCCGCTTGGAGTGGGACATATCAAGAAATTAACCAGGCTGCTTTGCACAGCATCTGCCTCACATGGGGAGCATGCTGCTAAAAAACCCAACCAATGAAGTGTCAGATAGTGTCAGCATGCGCCAGGAAACATGGGCAACACCACCATTCACTCATCAACCGCGATTCCATCGTCTGCAAGCTTTTGAGAGGCATCACCTCTCTTGCTCAAAAGGCTTTGCCCCACCCCCAAGCCCGGTGGGAGGTTCTCATTCTCCGACCGACCACTCGCCGGAGTCGCCATGGGAGCCGAAACGACCGCGCGGTTGGCCTGCGCGGTGGGAGGGAAGGTCTCCAAGGTCTTGTGGATGCTGGCCAAAAGAGCCTTGAAGCCTCAGGGTCGACGAGCCCTCCGGGCGCTCCCTGAGCGGCCCAAGTGCCGACCAGAGAGACGTTTTGGTATTTTTTTTGTGTGTGGTTTGTTTCCAAAGTGAGGTGGACGTGTGGCGGGTGGGGATACGGTGAAGGGAAGATCTGATGCAAAAAAAAACCGGTCCCTGATTGATCTACTATCAGTGTACTCAAGAAACCCGGTCGTCGTGCATCTTCCCCCCCACGACCATGCGCCGACGTTCGGGAATCAGAGTGGCTCTCAAAAGTGATGCTCTCCTCGTCCAAGAGGTTCACCGATCGAAAGTCCTCGTGGACTTCCTGTCAACGGGCAGGGTGCTCAAAGCAGAAAGGCCATCAACGCTTCCAACCCACGCCTCCATGTGCAAACCTCCTATGGCTGGGGAAAGTTGTGACCAAAAGGAGACAGAACGGGAGATGCCAAAAATGAATTTCCAACGGGCTAAGGCAACCAGGAAACACCTGTTTTTGGAGAGTGCGGTCTGTCTTGTTTTGAGGTGTCTCAACTCGTTCTGACAAAAAAGTGACAGGCTTCGCTCAGCACCACATTGTCACAAAGAAGATCCAGTAGTCGCCTGATGACCTTCAGGTCTATCCTCCTTCGAATTCCACCTCGCACATGGACATGCTTCTTTTTGTTCAAGGGAACCCACCCTGTGCTAACCTGTTGCTCTCTAAAGAAATGTAAATCCATCAGCTGGACACATCTCTAAAACATGACTTTAACAGTGCAACCACTGAAGAATCAGACCCCTCTAACCTCAAATCAATGACACAATCATGAATTTAAAGAATCGGACCGTCAGTGTTTGGTCGAACTCATGCTCCTCTTTCCTTTTTTCCAAAGAACGAAATTGTTATTTATGTTTATATATAATAACTCACAAGTTATTTTGTCCTTTTGACGAGCACAGCCATCCGCTATTGAACTTGTTTGACGGCGTGCCAGAGACATTCTGAGACTGTTTATGAACAGGAACTGCATCTCGGGCATTCGCCTGCAGTGATCAACCCAAAGTGATTCTCTAAAGAAGCACACTCTAGGGGTGCCAGGTACCAAAACACACAAATCAAAGTTCCAGTTGGAGCACAACAGGGCGGTTGTTCCACTGATACCCCTACGTTGCTTGATTGTTTAGTAGATAAAATTAGCACAGGGATTATCAAATCGCAAATATAATGTTCTTACTCTCCCTGGTGGAATGGTAGATCTGATGCACATCCCGACCTTACGTCCTCACCTCTTCATGCCTCATCTCTTCGAAGGAACTTGACGAATGACGAATCTGATCCTTTGGTGCCGTCGCTCATCCCTATGAACCCCTCTTCCACACATGCAAAAACACACCAAACCCCCAAACCAAATGGCTGATTCTGTTGGACCTTCCACCGCCGCTCCTCACCGCCTCCCAAGTCCCGGCGCGGCACCTCACGACGCTTGGGCCGGATCCGATCAATGACGCGCTGGCCGAAGCTCTGGCGCCAAACCACCTGAGGACGACATCGTCCAGCCCAAATGGGATAGGAGTACCAAGCCGGCGAGCTCCGTGCCACAGGCAGCCGATTTGGGTGTGCATGGTTGGTGGTATGGTTCATAGAATCATAAGAATATTGTATATAATATAGATATAAATATCTGTCCGTTGCATTGAAAAGATGCACTCACTGTGACCTCAGGGGGGGTTGACCTTGGGCAGAAGGATAGCAACCATCATTTCCGCGAAACTGGTGCACAAACAAACAATGGCAACTCATCATGACTATGTGCACCCGTGCCAGGATGCGACAGATTTGACTTACAACACTGCAACTGATCGAAATGCCATGGATAAGCATATATATATATAAAGAGAGAGAGAGAGACAAACTGAGACAAACTCAATGGGATATAGACTAAGCCCTCTCGCTGCGCCGCAAATCTAAGTCTGGCGCGTGCTCCTTGCGGTCTTTCTTGCCAAAGACCTCAGAACATGGTGAGCCTCTCCGTAGTCACACCTCCTGAAATTGGGCAGTCACAAATGTTACAGCTTCCCCCTTTTTTTGGAGCAGGGTGTAGGGATGTGTAGTGGCCCCTTGCTTCTTTCTGAAGACTGCCCTTGAAATACCTGGGGGGCCTTTTCAAGCACCAACCACTTTGCCGGCTGCCGTCATCTTCGCCTGAGCGATCTCTGCAAAGGTGTCATCCAAGAAGGAATCGGTGTAGGCCTGACGCCGCTCGGCTGGTCGCAGCGCTGGGGTGATGTAACGCTGGGGTGATGTAAATGCACTGGAAGAGGGAGACTCTTCGCAACTACATGACAGGCTGTTCTTTTTTGGTAATGTTGTGGTATACGCATATATATATATATACATATACAATTATACCAGTATATATGACCAAACTATAAATACACACCATTCACACATACACATAGTCATATAGTCACTAGTCTTCTCTGCGCTGTACCAAGACGTCCCGGAGATGGCTCCGGACCGGAGTTCGAGCCACGGTGTCGGACGCCTCTTCCAAGTACTGTGCGTAGGCCTCGAACTGGGGGTGGCCTTGGTCACGTCGCAGTGGCACATTGGGGTGGGCTTCGACATCCCTAGCCTTGCCAATCACCCACACTCACCGCACTTGGACGGGGGCACCTCACAAATTGCAAGGCAATGAATCATGTAGGGACACCATTCATAATAAACACTAGACTATATACAATATATTACAGATATTACATGTATGTATACAATATACATATAGTATCATATAGTAATATAGTATGCGTGTGTGCCACATGGATGCTCTGAAAAGGCGTAAGGCGTTCTTCACATGAATCGAAGAACGGGAAAGCACCAGTGCGGGGCCCCCGACGCTCCGAGTTGCTCCGAAGCAGGTCTCGCAGCGCGTGGATGCTGAGGCGTCCCGTGTTCTCCACGTCCGCCTCCTGCCGAGTTCGGCCGGTACGGTTTCCCGCGCATGACCTGCCCCGTTCAGGCCTCTGGGGTGGGCCAATGTACCGTATCCGCATTTGCTCATGATCACGATCATGAGGTTCTTCCCATGGAACATGTGTCCCAACCACACTGAAAACAGCTCCTGGAAGAGCTCTTGCGCAAAAAAGCAGGCGCATTCCTGCGAGACGGGAGAGTTCAGCATGGTTGGAATGGTCTTCTGGCTTTTGCACACTTGGTGCCCTGATGGCTTAGCAGAACCTGCGCAAAACAGGGGCAAGGGACTGGGGAATGCTTGTATCATGCCCCTCAATTTGCACAACTGTCCATAAGAGGAGCTCCAATGACACCCCACCATTGCAAAACACAGGCGGCCGAGTCCTGCTGCACTGTGCTGGCATCGCCCAGGGCGAAAATAGAGCCCTTGCTCCCCCAAACGTTGAGCCATTCCTGTGAGGAATTAGGCGCACAGCAAACCTCTTAAACGACCAAGCAACACTGTGCGTCAAAACGCTTTCCACATTCATCCGGCTAGGATGAATTGAGACAAAATATGGTCCCCACCTTAGACCCTCAACATGAGAACATGCCCAGGAAGAGATATTATTCCAGACCCGTTCCACATAGCTCTGGGATGATATTGTTCCAGTATGTCATCCACATGTGGAGCAGTCAGTTCAAGTCAAGGGAAAATCAACATATATATATATATATTATATATAGACCCCCCTGATTCCATGTTGAATAGTATATCACATCAAAATCACTACAGTAGTTGTAACATGCTGAGTGCAGCCACAGCTCATGGATATAGAAGTGAAAGCGCTAATAGATTCACATACATTCACACTCATGGATAGATAGACTTTCAACACCATTCAGTACATTCCAACATGTAGCCACAACAAACACAAACCCATGTTCGTCATGCTTTCAGCGGCTGTATACATAAATAATGGTGTACCTTGAATACAACATATTCCAGATTCCAGAAGGATGAAAACGTCACTTATAGGTCCAAAAGAATAAGTTTAAACATTTTCCTGAATCTAATTATTCCAGTAAAAACACTATATTCCAAAATGTTCCAAAGAAGACATGCCCACCGGAATGATCTTTAAAGGTAGGAGCCATTACTAAATGACAAAAGTGCTGGGACGGTCACGTAGCAATTTCGACATCAGCTCAGGAATGATCTCCGCTTCTCTTGGGCAAATGTGGAACAGCTCAGGCGCATTACTGGTGCCTGGCAGTGGTCAAACCGCAACTCCAATGCTTTAAGGACTCAAATGCCCAAGCAAGCAGCCGCTCCCACATCTGTCAGCTACTCTGCCCAAGCGTCGTCGGTGGACAAACCACGGACCTTTGCTTGAAGCTCCGCTTCCCTGCTTCCTGCCGCGAGGTGGGTGCATCAACGGGCGGAGAACATGCCACGACTGGGTGCAACCCATCAAAAAACACACGCCACGCGAATCTATCCCAAACACATATGTATGGCATGGCATATTTACCTACATTGGGGTGGTTTGAGGGGTCAATGTAGGCACATATGACAGACATGGAGTGTTTGGGTATGATACTATGACATGTTGTTGAACAGTTCGCGGGGGCTTGGAGGATTGCCTTTTCATCCACTTTTGTCTGTTCTGCTCTGCAGGATGCTTCTCCGCGGGGAAGGCTTTCGAATCCACTTCTTGGGTTTCTTCCATTTCTCTCCAAGACTCCCAAGCTTGTTGAGTCAAAGTGGGCACTGAGAGTCTTCTGATGTTTCTCCGGCGCCCCGCACGCGCAGGGCACCTTTGTTGAGCCCTTGAAGATCTGCCTTCACTTGCTGCGTGAGGCTGGTAGGCTTCACGCCTGCAGCCTCGGAATGGGAGAACGAAACGTATTTTTCATGGAGCTTATCTCTGAATACCTCTGATTATGAACATGAAAAAGGCAACTTGTTCTTTTGGGCAGGCGGTATGTATATGTCAACCACCTCTTGGGATGCCGTGCCATCACCGTCATAGAGTGACTTGTGTGGTGTGCTGGAGTCCACCAAGGGCCTACCACCGGCCCGGACCGACCCTTAGAGTGGACCGGACTCTCCATGGCCCAGTTCGAAGCTTTCGGCGTCTGGCAAAGAAATGGTTGATTCTGTCAATCTTGCATGGTCTCTTTTTCTACACTCGATCCCTCCAAACACACATATTCTTGGCAACAAATCACACTTGGGGGCACCTGCAGGCCTCAAACGTATGCTCTCCATGGTTATGACATGTTATGAACATTTATATAACTTTGTATACAGGTCTTCAGCTTCCTGGCCTTCTGCTTCAAGTCTTGGCAACCAACACAGAATCTGTCAACATCTGTCTAGGCTTATCCCTTGGCTGGTCCGCTCTCCACGCCTAGCCCCGGTCGGCATATTCGCCTGCCGGGAGATGATCGATTTCCCTGACCACCCGGGCCATTTTTGGCACTCGGTGTCCATGCGCCACCTTGTGTGCGTGCATGTATGTGCCAACGTCAACAAGTTGTATCTGGCTGAGTTTTGCCCCATCATCAGCTCTTATCAAGAACAATCCGCCAGCAACCAAACAACCAAAAAGGCAAGACACACAATCAGAACCCCAAAACCAAAAGAGAGACCCAAATCACCCAAAGGGCTGGCATATCGGTGGTGAGAGCAGGATGATGAGGGAGCTCATTACAGGTCTGAAGGGCCTCTGCTGGCGTAAGTCCCGCCTGTGGCTGTGCCTGGGCTTCTGAATGGCAGGTGTAAGACTCACGAAGAGGATCGACTAGCAAGCAGGTCAGTCGGTCAGTCAACCTATGTGGTTTCGACACCCTATTTAGCCAAGAAGCCCAAATAACGCAGCCATGAGGAATCTCCTTGTAATCACCCTGCTTTGTGGTCATTTTCACCTCAGTCAGCTGGGAAAATACCAAGTGCTTTGCGACCACATCCAGGTTTCATCAGAGTTGCATACATTTCGCATGGTCCACTAGCAAGAAAACATCACGTCCAACTGACTTCTTGAGAACAATATGCGTGCAATCTATATCCTGGGCCGGACCAACAACTGTATAATAGCTTGCACGTTTGAGAACCAGGGCAATGGCTTTGATAGCCTTGTTTCCCCTTGTGTCATCCTCGCCTTCATCCCTATCCAACGGTCCTTCGAAGGGGAAGACATTTTAGAGTCACCATGCAAACATCGACACATCATTTCCAAACACCCCATGGGACTGGCATATTTGCCTAAATTAAATTGGGGTGGTTGAAATGGGGTCAATGTATGTGTATAAATCTTCCATGTATGGAGTGTCTAGGTGTAGTCTTCATCTATGTATACAGTACCGTTTGGCAATCTTGACATGCAAAGACATGCTTCTTGTCTACACCCAACCTGCTGTGAGGGAGTACCAAACAGGGGTCAAAATGTACAAGGAAACATCAGCATGAATCAAGAAGTTGTTTTGGCTTCTATTACACTCGAAAATATGCCAGTGATGAAAACAAGAAAACCAATACATATCCAAAGCACCACCCTAAAGTGAGCTAAGTTCACCTTGCTGTCTGACACGAAACCGACAAAACACGTCGCGCCACCGTCCCGGCGTTTCTTCAACCGGGTGACCACATCCTCGGTAATCTCAGTGACCCGCCAGCCATTGAGGACCTGGCGCACGAGAAAAAATCCAAACTGTGTTCGGATTGGGAGACTTCTCTGGTTTGGCAGATCCAGAAACTCACCTTTGAGTCACTTTTGGCACTCAATCGAGCGACGATCAAGGACTAGATCCTGACCACTCCTGGCCTCAAAGAGCACAGGCAATTCATTTCAGTCCAGGAGTCGAGGGGTCATGAAGTTGACGGGGGGGGCGACTTGTTTCGGCGCCGCTGTCTGGGGGGGTCTGCCCCAGTTAGAAAGGTGAGACGAAATCTGATCGAATCCGAGCTCGAGCAATTGTGGTGAGACAAGTCTGTGGCACCGAATTGCCCTTCGTCTTAAATGGAGATTCTGAGATCCTGCTTTAGCTCCGCAAAGTACATCCCAACAACTAGTCCTTGCTTGCTGACTGGTTGTTTCCGCAAATCCCACTTCATAAGATACGCTAACCTTGTACTTGTACGGTGTGAGAACCTCAGCCTTTGTGTGGCTGAAGCACGGGCCACGGGAGACCTCCCTCAGGGCCACACAACGAACCTCCATGAATGGCTGTCAATCTTAAACACTTCTAATATTGTCTAACTTGAGAGGAGGGAGACACGAAAGGTAGGACAGCGGGAAGAGAAG